GCTGCCCTGCACGTTGGCGCGCGCTGCACTGCAGGGGCGCGCGTTGCTCTGCACGGGCGACGCGACGGGCTGGGGCAAGGCGCACGGGCGACGCGACGGGCTGGGGCAGGGCGCACGGGCGACGCGACGGGCTGGGGCAGGGCGCACGGGCTACGCGACGGGCTAGGGCAGGGCGCACGGGCGACGCAACGGGCTGGGGCAGGGCGCACGGGCTACGCGACGGGCTGGGGCAGGGCGCACGGGCTACTCGACGGGCTAGGGCAGGGCGCACGGGCGACGCGACGGGCTGGGGCAAGGCGCACGCGCGACGCTACGGGCTGGGGCAGGGCGCACGCTACGCGACGGGCTGGGGCGGAGGCGCGATACGGAGGGCGTGGAGGGCGCGTAGGGGAGGGCTAGGCGCGGAGGCGCGGAGGGCGTGTTTCGGAGGGCGCTAGGGCGCGGAAGGCGCTTGGGCGCGTGACGGAGGGCGCGTAAGGCGCGGAGGGCGCTAGGGCGCGTGACGGAGGGCGCGTAAGGCGCGGAGGCGCGTTAGGGCGCGGAGGGCTCGAGGGCGCGAGCTAGGCTAGGCTAGGCAAGGATTCTAAACCTACTCGTGATACCATCTCAGAAATAGAATGCAACAGAATGATGTGACTAGGAAAGCAAGGCAGTACAAATATGAAACCCTAAGTGAGTTGTACTCACCAAGGAGCACCTCACTACAGCCTATAACAGATAATAACATTTGACACAAATTTGTACGTACATGCGCATCTAACGGAACGGCTCGGAAACCCCAGCCTCCTCCTCGTGCAGAACACAAGGGTCAGGTCAATGAGTCATATGCTTGTCAGAATCTCAGTCACTAGACCACTGGGATAAAATGGCTTGTTAAGTAGCGGGTTAGTGCGTCCATAATCCCCCAGGACAACGAGCCTGTAACCCTCCCCTAGGATCAATCGGGGATCACCAGTGGACCTCTGACACCCCCCCGCACTGGGATGCCCGAAGTGCACACACTGGGATTTGAACCCGAGACCTTCGCTCTGATACTATGTCAGAATCCCAGTCAAAAGACCACTGGGATAAAATGGCTTGTTAAGTAGCGGGTCAGTGCGCCCATAACCCCCCAGGACAACGAGCCTGTAACCCTTCCCTAGGACCAATCGGGGATTACCAGTGGACCTCTGACAATGCTTTCTAGGAGAAAACCTGGCATATAAAGTCCTTCTATAATAGTGCAGGATTAATTTCATTATATAAGTTGGGTCATTGCACTACGAAATTTTGGAGCACAAGAGTTGATTGTTGGCGTCACCTGCTAATGTCGATTCCGAGCACTGGAGAGAAGAGCGGGAAAGTCACAGCAGCTGTCAGCTGGTTCCGAGCTCCTAGGCTGCAAATCTCGCTTTCTACGTCGATCCACCTCGAGTAACTCGAATGCAACAGGCATTTTCAGACGGAGAAATTCGTCTTAGTCTCGCACTTTCCGAGTTCCTTCGCTGGGAAGGTCTTGCTTGTTGATTAATCAATGGCGTTCCGTCTGCAAACCCCGTTTTTTTGTTGTTGTTAGATTGTACGGCTAGTTTAGGCCACTTAGGTTCACGTTTGTGAAAGTGATCGGTTCCGTTGGGAGAACAATGGCTGTCGAGGTACGCGTCGTTTCGCTTACGTGAAGGATCTGATAGCAGAGCGAGACCTGAGCTTTGCTTTCTTTTCAATGCAGGATAAGGCTCAGCAGGGCAGGGGGTCGACCAGCTGGTTTACTTTGGGGTTGATAGCATCATGGTACATATGCAATATCGGCGTTCTGCTGCTTAACAAGTTTCTACTCAGCAATTATGGCTACAAGTACCCTATCTTCTTGACAATGTGTCACATGGCTGCATGCTCGCTCTTCAGCTACATAGCGATTGCATGGATGAAGCTTGTACCGTTGCAGGTGGGTGAGCTCATGGGCCAGCAAATGCATGGAGTATCGAGGGTGTTGATCTTGATGTGTTGTTTATGCTAGCCACTGTGCAGCTGTTGAGACTCTTGTTAGGGTTCACTATGCTGGACTATCCACTCATCCCCAGGGTCTCGACAATTCCCGTACGTGCTTGGCTTGCAGGCAATAAGGTCAAGGTCGCAATTCCTGAAAATTGCAGCTCTAAGTGCCATATTCTGCTTCTCGGTGGTCAGTGGCAATATATCGCTGAAATACCTCCCAGTGTCCTTCAATCAAGCGATTGGGGCTACAACTCCGTTTTTCACCGCATTCTTTGCTTACATTATGACCTTTAAACGGGAAGCTTGGTTAACGTATGCTGCCTTAATCCCAGTGGTCATGGGAGTTGTCATTGCCAGTGGGGTGAGTGAATCCTCTTATCGAGTCAGCTTTCTTGCACGGTAGAGATGGCCATGAGACTTACGTTTCTTCTCCGTCTTGTGCTTCCAGAGTGAGCCGAGCTTTCATCTATATGGGTTCATTATTTGCATCGCAGCTACTGCAGCTAGAGCCTTGAAGACAGTCGTGCAGGGCTTGCTCCTGCAGTCTGATGGGTAAGTTCTCTTTTGTTTCGTCCCCAGCAATCTAGTATACACATTCTGAATTTGTTTGAACATGACTGCAGGGAAAAGCTGAACTCTATGAACCTTCTGCTCTACATGGCTCCGATAGCCGTGGTGCTGCTGGTGCCAGCCACTTTAATCATGGAGGACAATGTGCTTGGCATTACAATCAAGCAAGCTAAGGAAGACTGGGGAATCCTTCCTTTGCTGGCTGTCAACTCGGCAACAGCATACTTTGTGAATCTCACCAATTTCTTGGTCACCAAGTACACTAGCCCTTTAACACTGCAGGTATGTCGTTTGCCCACCCTGTGGAAGCATCTTTTTGTACAGATTCGGTTCCTATCTCAAAATTGTTGTCATTCTTGCAGGTTCTTGGCAATGCGAAAGGCGCTGTTGCTGTCGTCGTATCCATCCTCCTCTTCAGGAATCCTGTAACGGTGGTAGGAATGATTGGCTACAGCATCACAGTCATTGGGGTTGTGCTGTACAGTGAAGCAAAGAAGCGTAGTAGCAAGCAAAGTGAAACATGAGTGTTTCGGTGTCTTTCATAGAAATCAAACAATAGGTAGTTCTATGAGCCTTACATTTTATTTCATAGCATTTTTTTTCTCATAGGTACCTATTTTTGTATTCGGAAGCTGAGCTTTATTAAAGGTTCAATTCAAACGTCAGTATTTTAGGCCAAAGTGTTCAAATTCAGAGCTTATTTCTATACGCAGTCTGAAGGGATCTTGGAGCAAGTTAAGAGAAGCTCATGAAGCTTCTGCTGCTCAGCTGCAAGCTGAATCCAGGTGCTATTTAACTTTGTTACTCCTTCCCCAAACACCTCAGCTTCTTCTGATTCTTCCTTAGCTATTATTCTCGCTACATTCTGCATGCACCAACGAAGTAGAAGAGAACAGGGAAAGGGAAGAAATTAGTGTAGAGATGGCACAGGATAGGATAGCAGGGAACTCAAGACAATGTATCCAGACCTGCAATTGCTTCAGTGCACGCTCTACCACAAGCTTCTGCTGAGCAACTCGTTTCCCCAGAAACTCCTCATGCTGCTGCCGTGCAGTCTCGAGATCCCCCAAACGCATTGTTGCTTCCTGGAGCGCAGCTTGGCTTTCTTCAAGCTCCACCACGGCCTGCCTTTGTGCTTCTTCCAAGTTGCCATGCGCTTGCCTTGCATCTAAGGCTGCTTCTCCTGCTCTTGACACTGCTGCATTCGCCTGAAGGAAGGAAAAAAAAAGGATTGCGAGAGCAGGTATTATTGGGAAGCGTACGTGCTCTGGTAGAGCCTTGGTCGGGTTATGTTTGGTTGTAATGGAAGAAGGTAAATATATATAAAAAAGCTCTCCTTATGCACACCATCAGCAGCCGATGGAGTTCCCGATTCACGCACCTTCAGTTGTCTCTGCTGCGCTACAAGCAGTCGAGTCATCTCCCCCTCCTCCACATGCACCAACCTCTCCACCACTCCATCCACTGCTGCCACCATCCATTGCTGCTCCCATGTCATCTTACCCTTCTCCTCCAATAAGCATAGCTGCCTGCCGTCCTCCTTCTCTGACTTCTTATTCTCAGCCTCGATTGCGGATTTGTCAATGTTACTGAAAACGACTGTACCATTATTTTCCACGGCGTCAGACTCCTCCCTATCCAATTTCACTTCCGCATCCCTTTCTCCGGGACCTTCTCGTGGTTCCAGCAAGGCGGATTCTTCCGCCTCATTGCCGGTCCTCGCTCCCAGTACAACCCTGACTCTACCTCCTCGTGCATCGTTAGCTTCGAAATCAGCCTGCTCGCTTCCCTCATCGACTGATTTTTTCGCTCTTTTCAACGGTGGAACCAATTCCCCTCTCTCTATCCGCGATACAAGCCCTGCCACGATCCCTTCCGAGGCAACACCCTTAGCCTCCAATGGCGACGGTCCGCACTGGCTTCTGTTTCCGGCTAAGTCCTGATCACTAGCAGCATTGGAGGATTCGCATGGCGGAAAATTGCATTCCAAAGATAGCGCACTGCGTTTGCGCGAAATCGGCTGGCATGTTTCTGTGTTGTCGGCCATGATTTCTGTGTTGTCGGCCATGATTTTGTGGGGCAAGGCAGGCATGGAAGATCGATGAGAAGGGGTCGCATTCATATTCGTGTAGATTCCCGGTATACCGCACCTCGATTAATCTACAGTTCTGCAAAACATACAGAGAGCTTACAGGGAGGTACACTTACTGATAAGCTTTGCTCCTATGTGTACAACAAATGTTCTGTTTAATCAGCAAAGAATGATACACAATGGTACCTTGCAGACCATAGAGGTACCATGGAAAGGCAATGGAGGGCAACCAGTTCGAAGTATACACCTAACCATCCTACATTGAATTCAGTCTAATAAACCTTCACCAGCAACTGGAACAACCTCTATTGTTCAAGTCAATTGACGAGCTTCAAGCTTACGCCGCACCGCACCCATTCCCCGCCTAAGCCAGCTTGACTGGACCAGGAACAGGCGGCTTATCCACAACAGCGCCCACACTAGAAACGAAGTCTTCACTGTAGTTGGCCCACCCCTCCCTCTGCTTCTTATCCGCCTCCACCTCCTCAAAGCTCTTGGCATTCTCCTTGGCGTGTACCTCTGCCAGGCTGGCATAGCTCTCCGCTGACTTGGCAATGAATGCTTGCTCTGCTGCTGTCAGCGTGCGGAAGAACTTAGCTGGCGACCCGGCCCAAATCTGGGTTATGGGGTGGGGGAGGCAGGGAGCGGCGAGTGGGAGGGATGGGGTTATGTGGCTGTCTAAAGGGTTTGTTGTGAGAGAGGTTGGTTACACAAGGATGGTCTCCTGCTGGGCAAAGTGTGGACGAATTCTCCAAGAGAGGGAGTGGAGGACCCACCTGTCCCGAGGGAATGCGGGTGTTCTGCACAACGAGGGCGCCAGCAGCCACCATGGCACCCGACTCCACCACCACCCCATCAAGCAGCGTTGCTCCGATGCCCACAAACGCCTCGTCCTCCACTGTGCAAGCGTGGAGCACCGCGTTGTGCCCTGGAGGGATAAGGGGGGAAAAGGAGGGGAGAGGTGTCTTGAGTTCAGAAGTGACTCTAGGCACACCTGCACAGTGTGGCTCAGATTGGATGCCCACGAATGCCTCGTCCTCCACCGTGCACGCATGCAGCACCGCGTTGTGACCTGGTGGGGAAGGAGAGGGACGTGGGGCAAGGGGAGGGAAATGAGATGACTTCCGAGGTGGTTTCAAAAGTGACTACAGCCCATTGGGCGAACAACAGCAGGTCCGCCAAGCACAAAGCACCGAACCCCAGTGAGCCTCAAAGCCTACCGACAGTGGCGCGGAGAGCAACAGCAGGCTCACCGACGGTGACACGCGAGCCGATGATGGTGGGGAGGATCTTCCCGGCGAGGTTGGTCTTTGCCACGTGCACGATGCACCCGTCCTGGATGTTGGTGTCCGCGCCCACGCGGATGCTGTTCACGTCGCCTGCTCAGGAGGAAGGGGAGGGGGAGGGGATGGTGTGGTGTGGGGGAGTGGGGGAAGGAAAATGGTAGATGCAGCCGTCCTGAATGTTTGTGTCCGCGCCCACGCGGATGCTGTTCACGTCGCCTGCGCGACAGAAACGATAGGGAATGAGCCAGGTGGCATCAGGAGAAACGGAGCAGATACGGAGGGGGAGGGGGACTTGTGGGGGGTTGGTTGGTGACTGGAGGCGGGAGAGGAGTGTGGAAGGGGAAGGGGGAGTGGGGCGCGGGGCAGGGGGGCGCATGGCGGCGCACGAGTAGGAGGCGCGGTGGTGGGGGCACGGCGCTGGGGCGATGGGGAGGTGTGGAGGAGTGGCATGGGAGCAGATGGGTATGGTAATGGGGAGGTACGGTCATGAGGAGGTATGGCAAGGGGGAGGTACGGTAAAGAAGAGGTATGGTAAGGGGTAGGTATGGTAAAGAAGAGGTATGGTAAGCGAGAGGTATGGTAAAGAAGAGGTATGGTAAGGGGGGGGTATGGTAACGAAGTGGTATGGTAAGGAGGAGGTGTGGAAAGGTGTAGGTATGGCATACGGAGGGTATGGTATGTTGAAGGAAAAGTATGGAAAGGGGAGAATATGGTAGGGAAGGTATGGCTGGGGAGGGCTTTACCTCTGAGAATGGCGTTGTACCACACAGATGATCGCTGCCCGATCTGCACGTCGCCAATCACAGCCGCGCTCGGCGCCACGAAGGCGTTCGCGGGCACCTCGGGCAGCTTGTCGAAAAGATTCATGATCGTGCGATGCCGCGAGACTGCGGCGCGCGGGAACGACGGGAAGCGAGGATAATACCGGGGGAACACGCGGAAACAAGGGGGCGGATTCGAAGGGGTGGGGCGGGGAAAAACAGGGAGGCGTGGGAAGTAGAGGGGGGAGGGAAGTTGAGAAAGAGGGGTGGCGACGGTGGTTGCTTGTGCGGGAGAGGATTCAACACGGCCAGGACTATGCACATGGCCATGTGCATGGTTGTGGACAGGAATAGAATCGGAGACAGGATGGGGCACGACAGGATCGGAGACGATCAGAGCGGTCGCCGCTTCCCGCGACCAGGCGACACTCAGGTGCCCCTTTCAGCACCCAACGGTTTCCGCCTGCAACGGCTCTGGCGCGCACTAGAACCCATTCAGTGAAATGGTAGCCGTTCGATCGACGAAATCAGCAGTACTAGCGTGGTAAGGCACGATCGACTGGTGGTCCTAATCCCTGCGCGATCTAGACCGTTAATCTCTCGCAACCCTAATCCACGCGTTCCGTCCTTCTATCCTTCCCCGCGATGCCCTCGCGCCTGGATCGTATCCCAACCACCGACAAGCGCAGAGGATCTTGCTAAATCTCGAGAGACAGATCGCCGCCGTGACTCACGCTCTTCAGTGAAGGCATATTTGCCCTGCAGTCTGCACCCGAGTCGGTCGAGCGCTTGACCCGTCTCGCGCACCCAGAAGCCCACATTGTAGAGCGCCCTGCCGATGCCGCTCATGCTGGCGGGCCTGCGATGATCGCAGCGTGATGGACGGAGCTGTGAAGGTCGGAATGGCTGTGATCGGCGAAGGGAAGTGGCGGGGAGACGATGGATGGCAGAGAGATGAACTGGTGGTGCGAACGGAGCAGAAAATGATTCAAATACATAAACTTTAAAAATTGTATTGATTCAGGAGGAAGCAAGCGTTCATGCCGGAGTGGTTAACGGGACAGACTTGAAATCTGTTGGGCTACGCCCTCGCAGGTTCGAATCCTGCTGAACGCGCTTTTCCCTTTGCTGGTGGCTTTTTTTGGTGGAAGCCCCCACCTTACGTGAATAGAGGCCTCTGCTAGCCCTGGACTTTCAGCTTAGCTGAAACACCCAATCCTCTGAAGCTCTCGTTGAGTGGGCAGGTGAATCCTACAACCTCAACATGTCCCCAGGACGCGTCCCCTCCTCTCCCCGCCCCCCTCCCGATCCTGTCAGGATCGTTATTTTTCGGGGTTAGAGAAGGTTCTGGTAGTTGTGAATGCAGCAAGGAGGAACTTAGTGCGGCGGAGGATCAATTTTGCACGATAGATGGCAGGAACTGTGGAGGGGACGCGTCCTCATTGTTGGAAACAAGTAATTTAACGCTTCTGATGTGTCGGAACATCGAACTGCAAACGAGGCACGTTACAGTGAAGCAACAGCGAGTCAACCAAGGAGGTTGACAAAACGTAACAGCTGGAGGTTACGCGAAGGTCAAAGGTCGCCGACCTTTGACTTGACAAAAGGCAGCGCGACAGCAAGGACAAACAACTGACTCGGTATTGAGCAGTTGCCCGAGTCGTCGCTGTATCGAACCGCAACAGCAACAGTAAAACAGTTGGTTGCATCTTTTCATATTCCCTGTAATCATATAAAAGCTTTGTATTACTTTGCTATAATCAATCTCTGTCAGAAGTCTAGGCAGGAATGAATGGACTAGAAGAGAGTTGGGTACAAATGTGAAACCCTAATGGGGCTATACCCCATGTTAGCTACCCCACTACAGCCTAAACATATATAGCATATATATCATTTGACACACCCCCATAGGCAAAGTGGGGGAGAGCAAGGGGTCACAAGACCAGTCAAGAGAGGCAAAGCAAGCTCAGGGTGGATCACAACGTCACCACACACGCTGAGCACAAGCAAAGGGCCACAAGGCTAGTTCACATGCAGAGGTATATATGCAACAACAACAGCATAGTGATCTCTACCGAGCAAGAACAAGCATGCAGGTATATATAAATAGATCACAGTACAAACAAAGCCTACAGCAAGTGAGGAAACGTAGGCACAAGGCCCAACAAGGTACAAAAGCGCTGATGATCACCAGACGGAAGTGCCTTGGTGAATATATCAGCAGTGTTGGCCCGAGTGGCCACGTGAGCAAGGCGTAGTTGACCACGCTGCTGCAGCTCTCGAGCAAGGAAGTAACGCAGAGCGATGTGCTTCGTTCTGTGCTCCAATCTGTGCTCCTGACACAAGGCAATGGCGGCCTTGTTGTTTACGTACAGCACTGGAGGAGAACGAGGCCGCTCTCCCAAGTCGGTCAGCAGGTAGGTAAGCCAGCGTAACTCCTGAGCAGCCATGGCTGTAGCGTAGATCTCAGCCTCGCAACTGGAGCTGAGAACAGAGGAAGAGCGTGTAGACCGCCAAGAAACAGAGCCAGAGCCAAGGCTGAAGGTGTAACCCTGTGACGACCGCTGCGTAGCCTGGTCGTCAACCCAAGAAGCGTCTGAGTGACCAGTGAGGACAACTGGGCTCCGTCCTCCAAGCACGAGCCCCATGCCCGATGTACTGCACAAGTAGTGTAGTACCCTCTTAGCAGCATCCATGTGCACCTTTCGGTGCCGACCAGGAGCCACGTAGCGAGCCAGAAGGCCAAGAGGGTACGCAAGGTCAGGACGAGTGCAGGTCATCAGGTACACGAGGCAGCCCACTAGCTCTGGGTAAGGACCACTCGGCTCTACGGACTCGTCCGAAGGTGGAGCTGAGAGTGAGTGACCTGTAGTCAGAGGATTGGCCTGTGCTGAGGACCAGGTGAAGCCGAAGCGCTGAAGGACCTGCTGCACCATGTGTGAATGAGTCAGTGTGATGGTGCGGCGTGCTCTGTCCCGGGTGATCTGCAAGCCAAGGTAGCTGCGCAGCTCACCCAGGTCTGTGCACGTGTGTCTCTTCTGCAGCTCCGACTTCACCAGGGCGAGAGCCTCAGTGTCAGCAGTGGCAAAGACCAAGTCGTCGACGTATACGAGGATGTAGAACGGCGACAGCGAAGTGTCGGTGCGCAGAAACAGCGACGGGTCAGCAGTCGACGGAGCAAACCCAAGAGCCGCAAGTGTCGTCCTCACTGTGTCGTGCCACTCACGCGGCGCCTGACGGAGACCGTAGACTGGCCGCCGGAGGCTCCACTGGGTACTTGGAGGGAACGACCCAGTAAAGCCAGGTGGGCGGCGTAGCCAGATCTCCTCGTGCAAGCTGCCCTGTAGAAAGGCTGTGCTGAAGTCAAGAGAGTGAAGCTCGTAGTCACGCTGAGCGGCAACGTGCAGCAGCACCCGAAGAGTGGTCATCTTCGGGGTGGGGGAGAAGGTCTGGAAGAAGTCAACTCCCTCCCGCTGACTGAAGCCTCGAGCAACGTAACGAGCCTTGAAGACAGGCGAAGAACCCGGCGGCCGCTTCACCCTGAAAATCCACATGTCATCGACGATGTTCGCCCCAGGAGGGGGAACCTCATCGACGTAGGTGCCTGTGGACTTCCAGGATGCCATCTCTGCGTCCATAGCTGTCTGCCACTAAGAGGAGTACTCACCCGCGATCGCCTCAGCGTAAGAGCGTGGGGTCGGGATGTCTGGAGCATCCGGGTCTCCCTCAGGGGCAAGCAACATGGCCACGAGATGAGGCGCAGCGGCTGCAAGACACTCAAGGTCCTCCTGCCTATCCTCAAGGACGTCCGTGCCAAGAGCACACTCACCCCCGACGGACGGAGGACAGACAGACTCAGACTCAGCAACAAGACTAGCGGCGTAGTCTAGACGACAGCCAGCAGCAAAGTCAACAAGCTCAGCGACTAAGGCAGACGCAGCAGCAGACTCAAACGACGGGTCAGTGACAACAGTGGCTAGCAGACGCGTGACAGTAGGGTGCTCAGCACGAAACCGGTCGGACTCAGGGTCAGCAACGACAGGCAGAGAAGACGCAGGAGGAGACGGCAGAGGAACACGCTGCGGAGCAGAGGAAGGACGCAGAGCCATGAGGTGTGTGCCGGGGACAGCCGGCGGACGCGGACGAGGAACACGACGACCAGTGCGGACAGGCGAGACAGGACGCGACGCAGGCTCACGACGCTCAGCAAGACCTCCTGGCTGCTCAGTGTAAGGAGAAGGAGCAGGTAGCGGTGAGCCAGGCTGCAACGGAAGACCAGTAGATGACGGGAGGCTAAGAACCTGGCGAAGCACGGAGTCAGGCGGTGGCAGAGACGACGGAGACGGCGGAGCAAAGAACAGTCGTGGCTGTGCAGCGCCACTAGCACCAGCAGCGCCACCAGCACCAGCAGCTCCAGCACCACCAGCAGCTCCAGAACCTCCAGCTCCTGCTCCTCGAGCGCCAGCACCACCAGCAGCTCCAGAACCTCCAGCGCCAGCACCTCCAGCACCAGTGTCACCAGCAGCTCCAGAACCTCCAGCGCTAGCACCTCCAGTACCAGCGTCACCAGCAGCCCCGGAACCTCCAGCGCCAGCACCTCCAGCACCAGTGTCACCAGCAGCTCCAGAACCTCCAGCGCCAGCACCTCCAGTACCAGCGTCACCAGCAGCTCCAAAACCTCTAGCTCCAGCACCTCCCGTACCAGCGTCACCAGCAGCAGTACCCCCAGAACCGGCACCTCCAGCCCCAGGGTCTCCAGCAGCGGCACCCCCAGACTCAGCACCGCCAGCTCCAGCAGCTCCAGTACCTCCAGTACGAGCACCTCCGGAACCAGCGACTCCAACACCTCCTGTAGACAAAGTACCAGCACCACTCCCAGCTGCAGAGCCCCGAGCTCCAGCAGCGAGACCCTGACGGCTAGCGTACCACTCGTGCAGCTGCTGAGGGGAGAGAGGCTCACGCGGACGAAGGCGGCCTCTCCAAGGAGACCGCGCACCAGCAGTCTCAGTACCCTCAGGCGCCGCACCCCCAGACTCAGCACCCCCAGGCGTAGTACCTCCAGCCTCCTCACGCTCAGGCTCAACACCTCCAGGCTCCTCACGCTCAGGCTCAGCACCCCCAGGCTCCGTACCCCCAGGCTCAGCACCCCCAGGCTCCTCAACAGGCGCAGGCACGGGAGGGTCTACCTGAGAAACACCTGAAGGAGCAGGACCTGGCGCGGGGAGGGGGTCTACCTGGGGAGGACCTGGAGCGAGAAAGAGCGGCGGGGGGGGGGCGAGGGGCAGTGCGGTAGGGAAAGAGACGGTAAAAGGGAACTGACTCGTCAAAGGTGACGTCCTGAGACGGAAGGACACGGCGCGAGGCGGGGTCGTAAAAATGCCAGCCAGGCGCGTCAGGGACAAAGCCAAGGAAGACGCAGGGAATGGCGCGAGGGGAGAGCTTGTCCGCAGTGGTATCGCGGACAAAGGCACGGGCACCCCAGACTCGGAAACGCGACGCATCGCCAACCTCCCCCGTCCAACGCAGTGTGGGCGAAGTCTCCGGCACGGAGACACGGGGCCAGAGGTTGAGCTAATGCGCGGCGTACCGGACCGCAAACGGCCACAGAAAATGGGGGGCAGCCGCATGGATCATGGAGGTACGAGCGACCTCCATGACAAAGCCAATGCGGCGCTCAGCAATCCCATTCTGCTGCGGAGAGGCCGGAAGCGTGAACGTCTGGCGGATGCCGTGCTCCTCACAGTAGGCTCGCAAGAGGTCGGAGGAGAACTCACCACCTCTGTCAGAGTGCAGACGCAGGACAGGAAAGTCTGACTGGAACCGCTCGCGGAGCTGGAGACGAACAGCGC